TTATGATGCAATAAACCAGAGCACAGGTGTTGAATTTATCAATGCGTAATTTGTGTCAAGCTCATTTGCAAACTGAAGGAAGACAACCTCAATATTTTCGTCACTATCACAGGCTTTCTGCCATAGTCAGAGGATTGGTAAGGCACAGCAGACCTCTGAGGACACTATGCTGTCTTGAACACAAGAACTTGCGTTGATCAAGAAAAGGGCACACACATAATCACGTGGATTTCTCGTTGTGACCCTACGTAGAACGCCCGCCCAACTAATTTATTATCAGCCAGCAACTTTGAGTTTCACCTTGGTTGAAAGGGTGACCAGGGCGTGGCGCCTGTCTTTTCAGACGAAGCCTTGCCTAAGATTGCAGCGTGAGAGGTCACGTGAGTGTTCGGTCAAAATAGGATTTGTAAATATGAATAGGACCGAAGATAAGGAGCCCGGAGCAGACATTTACACGGGTCATGTCGAGCTAGCTCACTCCAGTGCTGTAATGAAAACATCTCTCATTAGGGAAGGAGGGGCACACACGCCGCAAAGACAACGCAGAATGTCGGATGGAAATATTCATTTGGACGAATAGAAGACTTTTGCATTGGTCGCGTTATAGATGCTGTCACTTTTGCGTGTACGGCTATATTTTGGCTACTTTCGTGCCTACTATTGAAACTGGAGTACACTTTCTGAACTGACTCATGACGCCGAAGTGCAGACTGTGTTTTCTGAAAAGAAGTGAACAGATGTCTTGTGCTTGCGATGGCGGTTGTAAATTTCCTTAATGCGTTTTGATCTATTTTTCTTCATGTTGGCATCCACTGGCAAAAACAGCGTTGTGGCAGTCACTTTGCCGAAACTAACGTGGCTTCTTTTTCGTAATGTCAGCTTGGTCAGCGTTAAGGCCAATTGTTTAAATGCTCCATAACTCTGCGAGCATAGCTCTAATGCTTGACTATATATAAATGTTTCATCGAAATGCTACCCCTAGATCAGAAATATTGCTTTTCTAGTGAAATAGCAAACAGGTTAGTGCAAGAAGTTCACTTTGGAAACTTCTTATATCAGACGCATGACGTAGTACAGCCAAGGTCGTAGGAAGCCGAATATTTCAAATCCACGCGCGTGATTTGTTGATACCGATACCTTGGGACACAACCATTAAGGATCGAGCATATAGCAAAAGCATATCTGAAAAGGCCCATAGACTTAAGCCGAAACAGCGAAATATTGATTACCAAATCGGAAAATGTTCTGGTCTCTTCATAATCAATAAAAGCGTTTATGTTTCGAAAATCGAATTAATTCCGGCTGAAAACAACAAGTTCAAAAAACGCAAAATAAGGACCACACTGAGAGCAAAGTACTCAAACTTACAAAATGTTTTTAAAAACTGTAAGACCAAGGTTTCCTTTGCGAACAAGGACTTAAATATTTTATACCCACTGGCATAACTCCCGGGCTATATGGATTAACATAAATGCTCAAACCGGACTTTCCCATGCAGGCGATTTTAGACATGTGCAGTTCGCCTTTATCACACAACGTCGAAGTGGCTGGCAGAAAGACTTAATTCAATTTGACACAAAATAACATCACATAGCCAACGAGACGTTTTTGACTTCATCGATTTCGTAGGACATGCAAATCTCCATGGGAAAAGGATGCTGTCCTTAGGTTAGCCGTCCTTGTTCCTTAGTATTTTTCCACACGGAAACGATAGAATGTGTGTGACGAGGTTGTCAAGCATAATTTCCCAATCGGCATTCCGGTCACAGACATAAGGAGCTGCAGGTCGAATGTTCAATTCAGATTCGATGGTAAATTCTTTCATGAAATTGACCGAATGGCAATTGAATCTTCCCTTGAACGGGAAAACTAGAGAACGAGCTCTGTCCACTTATTGAGGACCTTGATTCCTATGTTCGTTATGCTGATGGCCTTTTCGTAATAGCCAATGATACGACTGATTTGGCCACCCTCCTGGATGCAGTTAATCTTGCTTACACTGCAATAACATTTTACTTTGGAAAGAGACAAGTGAGAGTGCCCCCTTTCCTAGACGTTCTGATTGGTAAAACACCTAATAGAACAATTTGTTGGAGTATATTTCATGAGAAAACATGGACAAGGCAATATTTAAATTATTAGACGAAACGAAAACAAAGCTCGGTCAGCTGTTCAACCAACCGAACTAAGAAAATATGCACTCCAGATATGCTGCAGACCAGACTAGCCGTTATAGAAACGCTCTGCAAGAAACGTCCCCAAAGACGGACGTGTCGAAGCTTAAGAAGAAGAAGCCATTTCTCTCACTGCCATTTCGAGAAGATCCGGCAAGTGTACTTCCGCAATGCCGTGCGCACATGCACAGTCGCCAAGGTAAGACTCGTGTTCTCCAGCACTCCGCTTCTTTGCCTTGATGGCAGGGATACGCTGCGCTTGTAGACTGATCTGATGTGTATGTACGCTTCCTTGTGCTGCCATGTGGCAGGTTTTACTGGTAGAAGGACTAGGCACCTATACAGGTGGATGCGAGAGCATCATCGTGCCTGGATAAATGAAGGCCTGAAAAGTTGACCTCTAGCACAATTGTAGTTTACATGGTTGACAGACGCCACTGGGTAGGCGTCAAACAAGCATTTTGAGTCATCTAGGAAGTGTCGGCGGATACATTTGACGAGAGAGGTAGTAGTTATACGGTTAACGAACCCGACTTTGTGCTCTTAGAAGGCGTTCATACAAGCCTTCAAACTCCCTTATGCCAAGATGATCTCAGTATATTTGTTCACGCATCCTGCCACGTCGCGCTACAGCGAAGAAACTTAAGCATAGTTTGCCGCCAGACTCCTCCCTCCTTCTCCCTTCTCCCTACCCTATGCCCTGGCAGAAGCGACTTGCCGGAACATCTTCAACCTTTTCCCTCATAGCTACTGCTCATTGACTGTCTTTATTTTCGCTTATCTACCCTAACTTATACTATTGTACAGGGCTCAGAATGAATAATCGTAAACATACATTCGCCGAACTTGATTCTTTTGTGTTTATATGAGTATCATTGCAGAATTATTCGTGCAAACTAGTCCCGTGAGAACTATGCCACTGATCATTATGATATCTATCCCGAACATCTGCTGCGATAACTCGACTTTAGAAACCTTCAAGGTAGCAAGATTTGGTAAGCGCCGGGTCATATTCAAGAGGGCTCCAGCGTCAGCATGTTGGTTCTGCTTGATAAATGTACATCGACAATCAGGTCAATGACCAAAAAGTCAAAATTAAGGTAGATAAGAATGGGAGCCCTTCCTCCTAGAGGGCGTGCGACGGTGAAGCATAGAGAAATTCCTTGCCAAAGTTTGTCAGCACTTGTCTTCACCGTCACCGTCACCACCATCACACCGGAAGACTTACTGCTGTTTATAAACGGCATAAAATAAACAAAGTAAGTTTCGGATTCTTAAATGATCCCACCAGTTTAGGTTTCATTGATGTCCACTACATGAGGGTAAGTATTTATTAAAGTTGGTTAAATTCGGCAAATTTATCCCTGAGAGTAAAAGCGCTTACACGACTTGTGGGGAGAAAGTGGAAGCCATGAAGCTCCGGCGAACATGCCTTTACAGGGTACACTTAAAGAAGATCAGTGTCGCGTGAAGTTTGCCGAATTGTGGTTTCACGTGGAGGTCAATATCACCCTTCCGGTGGACATGGTCAAGGATTATTCACAACTTCATGTCGTCTGATTTTGAGAGTAAGACTAGCCGTGGCGTACTGCAGCACAACGCGGATCCCATCTACTTTTCATTCACTGTTGAAATCAACCAGCATTGAGCGATAAATCATAATTGTAACATTCTCACTGTACTTTGGAATGCTGTGTATCTGCTTGAAAAATTTCATGTTGGTGAGTCTTCTTAGGATATAATGAGCTATGGTTTACTTACTTCTACACCGTGCTATAAAAATGCTTATTGCCGACTCAGCACAAAAACAATGAGCACTTTATGTTCCAGAAGGTCATTTCGAGCTTATTCACATTTCCTCAGAACAATAACTGTAATACCGGACAAATATTCAGCAACCAAAGTCTGGAACCAGAATCGGCTAAATCAATGGGCTGACTTTCAAGTCCTGCAATAACTGCATCTAAACCTGACCGGACATGCACTGACCCCAACTTCTGTGTTACAGTCTTACGGAATATTGCATAATATAATGGAGGGACTTAAAATTGGGTAAAACTGAGAACAAGCAAGACGATTCTATTAAATTTGGGGACACATAAACAGCGAAATTTTATTTTTGGTTGAGTTATCAAAGTTTCAACTTTTTAGGATGTCTAACGTCATCCAACTTTTCCCATGAAGTTAGAACTGACCTACACTAATTCTTACACGGTTATTGCGATAACTATAGAAAAACTGTTTGCACTGTTTAAAAGAGCCTGGCCAATCGCTACAAATGTCGCCCAGATGAGAGGGTTGGGAGATCTTGGAGATCATATCAGAATTACAGCTTGTAAGGAAAATGAAATTTTCGATAAAGGAAATGAGATAGAGGCCAGGAAAATGATATTTCAGTAATGGACTTTGTATTGCGGTTAGCAATTTCCCCGAATCGAACAGCGTGCTAAAATGACCACATACTCATTGTTTCTTACTTACTCAGCTCGCTCACACGACATGAATTGTGTATTTAGTACTCTTAGCTCATTAAGTATGTGCAGAATTTAATAGTCACACATGCAATCAAAAGGGGAACAATCAATTTCCAGAGGGTGCAGACTTTTACATGCACTTGGGCGATATCTATTAGTTTCATAAAGAGTGACATTTGAACTCATAGTCCAGGGCGATATACAGGTCGGTGTCGCCTGTGCTAGCGCAGAGCTAGTAGTCATTGGCTAGTAACAAACCAATCGGGGCGGTCGATTGACAAGGTCTCTTTCACATAGCATTGAAGGAATTTTTAACGTTTGCATCACTGAAGAGAACCTTGTCTTTGCGAATATGAGAGGTTATGTCAGCGTAATCTGCCTGAATCTGCTGGTCTGTGTTCTCTTCGTCGAAGCTTTAAAATGTGGTATGAATATTTGTTCTTTTCCCTAAAAAACTGGAATACGTTATTTTTGCTTACACACTGTGCCACCGACAGATATAGTTAGAGACGCCATTTGAGCTCTGCGCATGATTGTTTAAACTCGTGAAAACGTGTCCTTTTGAAGGTTTACTTAATAACTGCATCAGGAAAAAGTGCTTTTACCAGAACCTAGGAAAGGGAAAACAGGTTTTTAATCTAAATATATAATGTACTTGTTAAGAGCAAAACAGGTCGGTAAATTAGACGATTTAGGCTTTTGTCGCCTTGTTGGTATATGGTATGTAGTGGTAGTTTTTAGATGCTGAAGACGCTATCGTTTGTCTAGATGAATCATAGACGGGCGCTGAATAAAAATTTATGATTTTTGAAGGCTTATTTGAAGTGACTCTGGAACGTGAACTGGGTGGCGTATATCATGAAATATCAGCGGCAATTGCGAAACGCGTTCTCAGTAAAGAAAGATTTCTTACGTGGAATTGTAATACTGATGAACTTGTGGCGGAAAATCGTGACGTTGTTGTCATGTGGGGACGCTGGCTCTTTAATGCACCTCTTTCATCCCACACTCAGTTAAAAATGACTGCGTACGTAGTATGCATGTTTTCTGGTGATTTTTCATGCCTATATATACTCGGACACACCTTATGGAGAATGTGTGGAAGTATGGTTCCTGATATTCATACTGTAGTAGGCTACGTCTTCTTAAAAATTCATTTTCGAGGAAAGGTTATCCTTAAGTTTTAAAAAATCCCATTCTTGGAATATTTTAAACCATTAAGCTCTCAAACTGCAGACTGTGCACTTTCCGTGTAGGGAAAATCACACATCCGTTTATGATCATGAAATGTTTCAATCAATAGAAGGTAACTGTAAACTGAAATACACGGCACTATTTTAATGGGCAATTCAGAATCCTAAAAGTTATATAATTACATACTTTTACTCTGAAATATACTGTTTCTTTGTATAATAATTTAAATAAAACGCTAATTGCTAACATATGACTATGAGAAACGATGTTTTTGTGCATTTTTATAAAAATATTTTTAAATATGTTAGGGAATATAAAATCAACGGAAAACTTCTTAATGCTTAAGTGGTTATTTTTTAATCCAACGTGATTTTCTGCAGGCGATCGAAAAGAAGAGCACTCAAAATTTGTCATGTTGGCGTAAATGATATATCATACGACTTTGCCACATAATCATCGTTATTAAAACCACTCCTAAGTAACCCCTTTAAGATGGAAACAAATTCCAAAATTTTGGCTGAGTTTAACAATAAACACTATCTTCTGCAAGCTTGTTTATAAATTCTTTTGTTAAGGAACACTAATTCCCCTTTGTGTATTATCTCGAGAAAAATCGATCTACTGAATGCATCTAAAGGGTTAATGTTTAGATAACAATCAAGTGATTAACCAAAACAGTAATTCAAAACTGCCTTGATTTTCCCCAGTTAGTTTGATAAGAGTGCTTCTATTTGGCAGTTGCAACCTAAATATTACTAAAAACGTTCGAGTTCGGTCTCCGGGACACCCAAACCCGGTGTTGGACAACGGCCAACTGGAGGTAATTCCTTAGCCAGAGATTGCTAATCTAGTCTTTTACCCTTTTCGCTATTTGCCATGCATAGTATCTTGCCGCAATGCGAATGACAGTAAGGACTATAGACTGAGCTCTAAGTCATAAGAGGGGGATCAAGTACCGCAGCTTTATCGGTGGACAACCTCCCCGCATTAATATATTACGTTTGTACATTGAAGCTTCACTGAAAGGACAAACCGCTGTGTAACCGCCCTAAGATTCAGTAGACTTAGACCTCGCCTTTTCAACTGTCTCGGGAAAAATCCTGCGCCCGAGGTAGTTAAAGCATTTTCAATACCTATTTAACGCAAGGACAAACAAATAAATCTGACTGTTCTCAAAGCCTGCATCTTAGTCATTTGCTTAAGCCATCTAAACAGGCCGTATATCTTTGCATCTGCAATAACCCTATTAAATGGATATTTAAACTAAGATGTGAGTTTTTAAATTTACTCTAAGAATGACAATATTAATCTGTATTTTGTTTTTATCGAAACACTTAGATACATTCGAAAGTCAGTAATTGAGAGGCATATTCATACTGCGAAATAACCGCCTTTGGTCAGATTTGGTAATTCTTAATACCAATAGTAACGACAACGATTTAGATGACGCCGTTGCGGACAACAGCATCCACCACTTCCCCAAAACGTTGACACAGCAGCAGCAGCAGTTTATGCGCGAATGCGTGCTGCAGCTGACCTAATCACTTTGCGCATTCACACTATGCCCCATAGCATGACAACCAAGATTGGGCTCGGTTATAGTGAGCATAAAATCTAAACTACACGTCTACGAGTGCTACGTCTAGTCCTAACTGCACAAGTAACAAGCTTCCTTCGGAAATAAGGTCCTCGGAGTTCGTCCAAAAATGTGTTACAAAGGCTTCCATTAGGAATCATTACAGTCTGGCCGTCAGCTTTATGCAAGACCAAGTTAAAGCACCGATTGGTTACCTTTTAAGTTAGGAATACTAACGAAACTTGGAAGATTCATGTGAGTCAGATTTATCGTAGTGGAGAATGGAGGTAAGAAGTTCTGAAAGCGTGTGGTATGCCAGTATCAACAAACCATGGCCTTCCAATCCTGGTATGCGCTGGCAGTTCCCTGACACCTGGTTCCCTACCGGTAAATACGCTTGCGCTGCCGCTGGGTATGCAGGTGATGGCCATGGCTGCCCAGTCATCCTCGTTCTTCTGACCCCCGTTGGGGTGTTGTTTTTGTTGTCGTCGTTGGTAGAAAATCCTGGTCAAGTGTATTTTTTGAATCAGGTGGTATGGTGGCACGCCTAGGTGGGGGTCCGGCCGTGCCAGCCACCTGCGACCTCCCCTGTCCTTGGTCTTCTTGATTCTGTCTCGACACCGGCTCTAGGTTGGAAATGATGAAGAGGGAGTGCAGTAGATTCGTCGCACGTCTACTGTCATAATAAGCTAATTCACGTGCAAATCATTGTGACCGCTGCACCTTTCTGCGTAGAACCCGGTGGACATTGCTGGAATCGACGGTCGAACTGTGTAATGGACAATGCGCTGATCTGCCGTGGGAAGGGATTTCCAAATATCTACGTACGCTTTCTGCCCATGTATGTGGGCCGTTTGAGTTGCGCTCATTAGTGTGACATGTGGCCTCCGCAGCGGACCGCACGGTTGACGTGCTGGAGCACAGCAGTGGTCTGTTAGGCTCACGATACGCGTTAACCGGACTCCGTACAATCTGCAAGAGCCCATAACCACTGCCGTACATGTGGGATGTGGTAATACGCCCAGGCAGAGGCTTTGTGATGCGCCAGACACAGCACCCAAACTGAGCAGGAAAAACTGGCTAAGACAAAGAAATGGTGCCAGGGAGAGTAAAGAATAAGGTCGACTCTGGAGACCCCTTTCCTACAATATCTCAAAGCTCAGGACTGAGTACGGACATAGAGAGTTAGGTCGACGTCACTGCGCATTTTACTCACCATAAGCAATCTGACGCTCTTTTAAACTTTCACAGTGCGGTCAGATTTGTGGCTTGGAAGGCTGCAAATTGGCAGGATAACTAGGACCTCTTCTCCAGACAAAGAGTCAGGCTGCAACAGCCCCACCCGAATTTTGCCTCTATGGCACTCCTTTGGAGTTGGGATCCAGGATCCCCTTGTTCCTGCGGAACCCTGATCCTGTGTGAATGGAGCAAGCGTGCTTGGCACGCAAAGACAGGCTGTTTAGTCTTGCCAGTTGCTGCTTCCGTGCACAACTCCAGACTCCCTGACTCTGTCTCGATACCGGACTCGGGTGGGCGACGAAGTAAAGATTGTTGTAGACGCCGCACACTTCAAATATCACTGTAAATTTGCGGAGGTGCGACAGTTGACAGACAGGGATTTCCAAATCACGAGTCAAATAGCACATAATTATTGGACAAGCTTAACATCAGTAAGAGAGAGCGTAAAAACGACTTGGCACGTAAATGCAGCAAGCCACACACTAATTCACGTGAAAAGTACCGTTCTTGCGCTAACCTTGCCGTGGGGCACACGGAGACATCATGGCGTACGATGGTCGAACTTTCGGACAGCGGACTAGACTCTTACACTGTAATATCTGGGGACTTACGATTTTAAGAATGGATTCCATGGATTAGCATTTGATGGTTAGCAGACCAGCCGTTTTTTGAGCATTTCCTTTAGAAGCGGTGGTTTAAATAGTACTTTTACTTTTTATTTGTCCTTTTATTTTGGCGGAAATAAACAGCCTGTGGGATTTTAGTCTTGTAGCATATATTTAAGAATTGAAATGTTGATGTGCGCTCTTGTAGGAGACACAAAAGTTGATATTTTACTTTGAGAGGACATTAGTTAAAAAAAACGGAAGTCCATGACAATTTTTTATGTTGGGTGGCGTATTTCTTTAAACATTTTGCCCTTTGATTTTCATTCCTACCCTTGGAAAACAAAGTTTACACTGAAACTCCATTCACCTGGTTTAACAATCCAATTATTATTTAGCAAAGAGTTTACCCAATTGAGGCTGACCACTGTTTGCTTTGACAAAAGGTTGATCTCGCCAAAGATTTCCTTCCAAATAAATGACGTATTACTTTACGAAAAACTAAAACATACTAAGTCCTCATCTTTTTGTACGCTTTCGGTGGCGGCGGATGACGTAGAGGGTTGTGGTAGCTAAGCTGAAATGTTACGCTACACCATGGTCCATGATCACCGCAGTAGCAAATACGGCTCTTTTCCTAGTGCTGAATGATGAATGGGTTTACTTAATCACTAGGTACCTGCTTCAAGTGCAAGAAGACTTTGTAAATCTAGCAATGTCATAATTTGAATTAAAATCCAGATATCAATTAGTAAATCGCAGCTCTGATAGTGGGCACAAGCGAACCTCATCTAAACAGACCCCTTCCAATATCACAGAGGCAAAACATTCTTATTAGCGATGTTCTGTTATTTAGACAAATAGGCGCGAATCGCTCGTGGGCTTCATGTTTTTTCCTTTACTGAAAGTTAAGATAATTCGACACTATCTTCAATAAAATGAGAAATCATCGGGTTTCTTTGTACCTCAAGCTCAGCTCGTAGATTTTGGATGCCTTATCGACAACTTAGCTATAGGGCTATAAAATTCAGGGCAAAATCTATTGGACTACAATTTTAACGTTCTTGTTAAAATCACATGAGGATTTCCTGCGCTGCTACAACCTTATTTGGTTTTAGCATTTCCTGCCAAGCCTGTTATCAGCGTAGGTTTGTATGTAGCGGTGAAAGATAGTCGCGTTTCTCAAAGTAAATGGCGTCAGAGTGCCAGAGGTTTTGTGGCCCTACAGTGGTCCTACAGTTGGCGCAACCACAGTGCCTAGCTGACACGGGGCGTTACCTTGCACCGACTTGCCTCTGCGCTAGCAATAGTCGGAGGAAATGAGCGACCTGAAACCTGCCAAAACAATGATGCTTGCGTGGTGAGTCATCAGAGCACATTCGGTTTGTATCAAACGCATTGTAAGCTGGCCCTGAGGTTGGAAAATGTTGCCGATGCCAACTGGTTCTCTTGCTCGAGCAATATACGCGTGCTGAATGGATAGAGAACGCGACGAGTCATCAAATCATTTCGTGACTAATTATTCAGTACTCCGGGGACTGCTAACAGTGACAGGTCAACAGCCAGAAGTACGCGTAATTAATTTCATTTCGCTTGTTCTAACACGAATAGGGTGTAAAAGTTGGGACGTGAGCGTCATCAGCCGTAAGGCTCTCAAAAAGCACTGGCATTATTGTCCATTGATTTGTCCTTGTGCGAGGTGTAATTGAGTAACATTTGTTTTTTGGGAATTTTGCAGGAGGTAACAAATGTGAATCAAAAAGCGGATTTTGGTACTCCACAAGTTGTTGCGGAACAAACAAAAATAAATGCTGTTATGAAAGAAGGTAAGATTATTGCTTTGCGTTGATCCCTGTAAAATGTTCTTTAATTTTCTGCACCTTAACGAAAAGTATGGACGCTAAGGCCAAACAGATATTTTGCGGGACAAGATTACAGTAAGTGACCGATCTCATGAAAGGTTGGCTGAAATTCTGAAATACATCTTCGATTAGGAAGGATTACTTGATCGCGGTTGTAATACTGATTATCGTAAGGCATAATCTTATAACGTTTCGGACTCGGCAGGGTGTCAGCTTTTGCATACACTGCTTGTCAATCTGCTACAGGAACCGTGCTGGTTAAAAATTGACTACATAAGTGGCATGCGTTTTTCCCATTGATTTTCGATGATCTTGCATATTCAAATATTTCTTATAGAAACCATAAACAAAACCTGCTTTCCTTCAATCAGTTAATAGAGAATCACGTTTTCTTTATATTTTATACTCAAGGAAGGAATATAATTAGATTTTAAAAGTGTTTTCTAATTGCCTTATAATTTGGAGCCTGATCATTCGTTGTATTAGCCCTGAACTATTTCAGTCTACTAGGTGCATGCATTCCGCGTACAGCAAAGCACATACTTTTCTATGCCATTAAAAAGACGACATACAGAGTCCACAAAATTTTGCAATGGATGCGGACTATGTTGTACATTTCATGAGGAGAAGTGGTAAACGAACAGGTATTATGCTACGTGAATGGGCATTGCGCGGTCTTAAAAAATCTTATAATTGGAAACTTTTTAAAGCCCAATTATCTTCCTTCCTTGAGTGTAACATATAAAGAAAACGTGATTCTTTTTTAACTGACTGAATGAAAGCAGGTTTTGTTTATGATTTCTATAAGAAATATTTGAATATGCAAGACCATCGAAAATCAATGGGAAAAACGCATGCCACTTATGTAGTCAATTTTTAACCAGCACGGTTCCTGCAGCAGATTGACGAGCAGTGCATCCAAAAGCTGACATCCTGTCGAGTCCAAATGTTATAAAATTATGCCGTATGATAGTCAGTATTACAACCGCGACCAAGTAATCCTTCCTAATCGAAGATGTATTTGAGAATTTCAGCCAACATTTCATGAGATCGGTCGCTCACTGTTACTTCGAATTTTTGCCGGCAAAAGTATACTTACCGTCTTCGTAATAGTATAAGTTTGGGTCGAAATAGAAATTCCAATCTTCCTTACTGAATACGCACAGGAGTTTGTTTGACTAGCAATAAACCAGTTTGAAGGACGATTTTCAAGTTAAAAAAGATAAACTGCCTATGCGTGAGCAAGTAATTACCGAAGTTAGGGAAAATATAATAGTAACCGAGCAACAGATAAAGTGAAAATTTATAATTTGAGGCAAGGGGCACACTTATGCCTGCTTTGCTCCGCAGTAGCCATTATCGGACAATAAATAGACGCATATTTCTGCTCCGTTCATTTAATACCCTGCGTTTTAGTGGTTAAATGTCTCAAACGTCGACTAATGGAAGTCGACCAGCCAAACTGAAAGCAATTTCGCATGACATGCACGGATTCTTATTTCTATAGGATTAAAGAAATGACCAAAAGTTTATGTCGATATTCAGGAACCATCGATTATGACTCTTTTAGTTGCAGTAGACGATAAAGTACGATAAACAATTCTAGGTGAAACTAGATACTGCGAGCTGCTGAACTTTTAACTTCAGTGAAAACCGTACGCTAGTGCCACCATTCTCATGTTCTCAGGTATATGCCAAGTTAACTATGTTCCCAAAAAGAATTCTCAAAAAATGACTTGATAGAACTCTCGCTGCTTAAAAGAGAGTTTTTTGGGAACTTAAACTTTCAAGAAGTAGTTGCCACAACAATGGAATAGGGTGATTTAAAGACGTTTCGAAATGCCTGGGTGAAGAGATCTTATCAACGCTCGCAGATTTTTAGGTCTTCTTACGAAGCATATTTGTATTCAGCCGCATGTAGACGTTAAGTTACATAAAATTTTAGAAGATTGTGAAAATCAGCTGAGGTCAAATCCACATCAGGCAACATGCCGTCCCCACTTCTAGTTCTGTCTGGGGTTTGCGGAGAGGGAGGGGAAGGGAAGGGGGAGGTGTCTGGGGATTAACTGTCCGTGTTTCAGCGCTATAAAGCGACGTGACACGTACGAACACCTATGCTGGGTTTGTCTTTACCCCGGGGAGGCCTTAGCGCCTGTAAAAACGTTTTATGCGAGCAAAAGGCTGGCTTAGTTAATCGTCTAGCCACTGCCTCTGCGGCCGCAAGTATTCGCTGACTCAGGAAGTTGGAGTGTCTCACCGATACTTTATAGATGACTCGGAATGCTTGATTGACCTCTACCCAATAGCCGCTGTCAACCAAGTGAGCCACAATTGCGCTATAGATGGACTTTTCCCCACCTTGGCTTAGCCAGGCGGGATGGTGCTCTCGCATCCTCTTGGATAAATGCCTGGTTGTTCGACCAATATAACCTGCCCCAGAAGAGCAAGTGAAAACGTAGATGCACACTAAAGAGGTCTAAAAGGGCAGTCTGTCCTTGCCTCCAAGGCGAAGAAACGGAGAGCTTGCGAAAAGCAATCTTATCTTAGCGGCTGGATACGTGCGCACGACAGCAGCATTTAAGCGACGATGTAGGAATTCGCTTACCGGATCCCCTTGAAATTGCAGTGTGATAAATAATTCCTTCTTAGCCGTCTGCACATTAGATTTTTGAGAGCATTCTTCCATGTATTTATTGACAAACTTTTCAGGGTAGCCGTTTTCTCTCAGACGCTTTCGTAGATTGACGAGTACATTCTCAAGCCTATCTGGTGTGCAAATTCTCCTAGTTCGATTGATAAGGCAGCGGACCAAGTTTTATTGCTGGTTTAGCGGGCTGCAACTGTAAAAATTCGTGTACTCCCCTGTCCATTTTTCTTGTGAGATTCACTTCTGCTTAATGTTTCATCCGGAATTCGATTTAGTAGAACATCAAGAAAGGGTAGGCACTCTCTGTTCTCTTTTTCCAAGTTGAAGTTTAAGGCTGGGTGGGCCTGATTCACTTTATATAGGGAGCTGTTCAAATTAAGCGTTTCATCCGTTTTTACGGAAATGACATCAACATATCGGGCATAGGAATAAAGGTCCTTTATCATTGGACAGAGCTAGGTTTTCTTTAGTTTTTCCAAGAATGCATCAGCTATTATTGGTGCAAAGAGTGATCCCATCGCTACGCCGTTGATTTGGCGGTAAAATTGGCTATAACCAATTGGCGTCTCTTTCAAACTATTTTTATTTAAGACAGAACTTACAATAGACTTATTAAAATTGTATAAGTCGTATTTTTCAAGTATATCTACGTCCCTTATTCGAATGCTAACGGTCCTGATCAAGAAATTTCTTATACTGCTACCATAAGTCATTAAATTGTGTTGGGTCCTTTTATATAATAGTAATATCTCTGTGTTATGTGATTTGTCGCTCAAGTGAAGCAGACATGCAAGTGAAATTTATTGCTACAGTATTATCAGATGGCTGGCAATGCTTCAACTCGGCACAGATTGCGCTATTTGTCAGAAATGCGTTTAAGGTCCTCGTTTGATCATTCGTAACTCTCGCCCCATGCGGCATTTAACTCGTCGATGCATAACAAGCTGTTGCACACTTCATTTTCGTTAGTACTAGTAGCATACACATGAACTATGCAATCTTAACTGATCTTGGATGGAAAATGTGCACAACGGAGGAAAAACTACGTGCTTGTTGACGGCGGCGTTGATGGAGAGCACATGGGTGTGACACAGCTACCGGACGCATGGAAAAATCTGGAGCGTTTACTGCCGCCACTGAGAGTTAAGAGTATGACGACGGGAATCCAGGTCCACGTTGAAACAAACGAGCCACGTACGCTGCAGTTCTACCCACCCTCAGCAATCTCAGCGTTTCAATTGTCGTACTCAACTAGCACAAGCAGCTTATTCTAGGCACAAGTTAGACGTTTACCTCCCCCCAATCGTCTTATATAAATAAAAAACTTAGAGCAAAGTGCCAGCTTATGGCCTTATTTAGTCGTTTAAGCCGATGTCTACCCCAAATGACCTTAAAAATCTCTTGTTCAATATCCACAGGTGTATCCTGTTGAACTCTCTAATGCAAATTACGGCCCTTGGTGTTGTTATAATAGCTGGCAGCATGAAAGCTTAGTTTCGTAAATTTGCTTCGACTGGATTCCCTAAAAAGCCACCAAGCAAAACTAATTATTTTGATCCGGTTATAATACCTGGAAATATAGAAAGTCATGTAAGGTTATCTGTTATTAATTGTCATACTGATTTTTGGCTTAAAAATCTTTCCAAACACAAGTATCTATCTCATTGGCAACAACCGCTATTGAATAGTGTGCATACTCCATCAAAACTTTGGGATTCATATGCTTATGGTATATTTTTGGAAGAAAGGAGGCAAAACAGTAAATTATCGGAGCTTTTGCTTCAGAAATTATACCCTCAAGCCCAACATTGGAAAGAAAAATACATGTCAGTTTGAAAGCATTCGAAAAGTCAGATAGTCTTGTTAACTATATTCTAATGTGTGATATCCCACACAACCTGTGAGTTCTAGACCAAAGCACCTAAATATGACATGGAAATGGACACTCATCAATTCACCGACTTTCAAATCAGAGCGGATAGGCTTCGGGAAGCCTATGAATGTGTACCTATTCGTGTACGCATATGTAGCCGATCTGCACCGACAGAGAGCCTCACGTGGCAAGACACTGGTGATATTCAGTTTGAGGAGTGTGTGCAGCCTCTCACACATCCTATGCTGTGCAGCATTCGTGTTTTGTATATGTGTGGTTCCTAATCTTGTGTTTCTGGTCCAGATGGTAGTAAGCGTATTTGAAAGTAGTCGCCTGGCCATTAGGGCAAGTCGCCTTTCAAATTGCGAAGAGATGGCCTGCTCAATTTTGCCAGTAGAAATGCGCAATTTGCAAATTCTGTATACAAGAGGTCGCCCCACGATCCAAGGGAAGAATCACTTGCGAGTGAAAAGAAATAAACGTCGACCTTTACCTCAGCACCAGCGGTCCTATAATAGTTCAGATGATAGAGTACTCCATTAGAAATTTGTATGTTTGCAAATGGAGTCAGCTCTAGAACAAAAGACTTCTGTTAGTTAGATTTCGCCCTTACCGTGATCTTTAACAACAAAAATATTGCTTTTTACCTGGAAAATTAAGTGTCCATGTGGTTTCTGGACACCGGACGATATTTTCTAGGTGGAGTTGCGACCAGGGACTTCAAATGTTTATACAAGAAAGCCAGTAGATCACAGCATATGAAATGGGTGAAAATTTTGGTCTATGCTTAGCAGTACTTTAGTTCTCCGTTGATCATACTTTCTGGCTGACAGCCTACCGAAAGATTTTAGTTGACTTTTGCCAAATTTCTATCTGGAGGATGTTGCCGTTTAACTTGGATCCGAAGCTCCAATCTGTCAAACCCGCACGAGTCTTGCTGGATGAACGCTAGAGTGAACTCGATAGTAATTTGAGATTACATCATCGTTATCCTTCCCAAATATTTCGTGGAACTGTGTATTGGAGTATAAAAGATGCATCGATAAGTCTGCCTTTGTCTTACCTCGTCAGTGAAACGGCATCACAACGACTTGAGGCACCGACTTTTGACTACAGTCGACAAGTTTGTAACCTTTAGGCGTAAAACGACTGAAGAATTCACCTACCGCCTAAACCTAGTTCTTCTGGACATTGAGTTAACGGTGTGAGAAGGAATGAACTATCATTTGACATTTGTATACTGTTGGTTTTCAGACATAATGATGAGCAAATCGACAGTGTCATCTGAAGGGCAACAATTGCTAATTCCATTTCTTCAGACTCCCATAAAAACCAAAATACTCAGCACAAATATATACCTGACAGAATATTATGTTTCAGGTTCATGTACCGTAAAGCAAATTCGATGACCACGGCCCAACCTTCAGAAGATGCAAAGGCTTTTTGCAAACAGTGGATAGCCTAGTTTTGGGTGAATACATGCGAATTCTTGTGGGAGCAACGAGGTCACAAAAGTACAAGACGACCTTCAGGCCTTTCCTTGTCTATATGACTGATATATGGGGAGACTGCTCAAACCTAAAGAACGGATTTTAGTTGGGGATTGCACACGGACAGAAACCAAAGGTTTACCGACTGCTTACGTTTCAAGCCGATTGCCTTGCTTTCCTAATCGAATTGGATTGTGGTAGCCATTTGCATTAGTAAAATCGGTGAGCAAGTCCAGACGAAAATTCCCCTGTAAAGAACTGCTCCCTATTGTATAATTATTACAGACTGCCAACAGTCAGGCAGTAGTATGCACACACCGCATGATTAAACATACTGACAGTGAATTTACTACGTAAAAGCCCAGACGCGTATTCCACCGGATTTCCGTCGCTGCATGACGCAGTTACGGATTCGGCGTATGGGTGATTCTCACAGCGTCCCCCAGGTACTTTCTAATTTGTACTCCAGTTTTAAGTGTTCAACCTTTTTGTTTCTTAAAAAATAAATGCCATTACATGGAGCGGCTCTTTCTGAGCAAAATTTTTAGTCTGGGTTCGAAAGTTCTTATAAATACTGAAGCTGAAAACTGAAGTACATACCAGGAAGCACAGAGAAAAGGGGGGGTTGCACTGATGGACCGAACCACTCGCAACTGGGTCAAGCAGCTGTGAAAAATCGGAAAAAAAACATGTGTCTGGGCTTTTAGTTATTACCTGAGCTGTCAGTGTGGGGAATCATGCTATGTATATGCGGGTCACGAACAACAAATGCGGGCAACGCAAACGAGTTCAATGACCGCTGTCATCCCGACACTGCTCCCCGTCGAGAAGAGGGAGAAAGGCACCGACCAGCATAACAGCGATTAAATCGTCCCCCCCCCTGCAGTGCATCCTGCACGGGTAGCAGTAGGAATGACAGCACGCCGACATGCTCAGAACCATAGAGAACCTACGCAGACGATGGAGGCTTGTCTGCTTGTGAAACGTCAAGCCATTAAGCCTATGGTTTTCGTGATCGCCTCTTTTTCTCACATGTATATGTCAAGTAAGCTTCTTGCCATAGCAGTGAGGGTCAAAAGCTTACTCGGTATGTTTATATACCTCACATCATATGGCCTATGACGTACTGATAATCGGTAGCGGCCGTGAAACAGCCGTCTGCGTCTCTCCTATCGCACTCTTAGTGAGCTGCTTACGCATATATAGATAATATAGATATGTTAGCAGAGGGGAGACAACTGAGTCTGGGAGGGGGGAGGTAAATTGATACAGTGCTGTTTCGGGCTTGTTTGCCTTCATTCAGCCGATCATAACCCTGATCACCAGCTGGGACCGGAAACACAATCATGCGCACAAACACACCTGGCGCAGCTGGTCCACCACTGGGGTCTACCAGATGGGTCATAAGCACTTCATCGGACCGAAGTTCATCAGTGCCTCGCCACCTGCCATTCTCTGTATATAAAAAGACATATCCTGGAGATTTAACTCCATGTCCTACACTGGATAATTTCTAAACTTATTCATTTGATTATTCTCTGGAGTTCATATACCAGAAACCGCATAGGGAACGATGGGGGACCCACTGAGAAGCCGAAATCCTCGCAGGTGTCTCACGTAGCGACAAAATATCGGCGAACCACGTGTCTGGGCTTTTACTTAGTACCTATGTCACGAGCGCTGTGTATTACGTTTGCCATATACATTTAATACTACTCATAGTACTACTTGTTTGTAGAATGGATATTACGTGGTTATTCCACAGAAGTCGATTGGCTTTGACTCGAATTTTCACTGGGATCTCGGGTCGGACCCCAAAAAGTTGTGTTCCAGAGACTTAATCCCATGTCCTGTACTGAACAATTTTTGAAATTATTCGCTTGATATTAATATGATAAAAAGAAATAAGTTCTGTGGGACAAGAGGGTTAATTACGTATATGTATATGTATGCACGTATGCATGTATAGGCAGAATGCCATTACCGACAAAGACAAGGGGGACTGGAATGGCCATTTCTGGCTTATTAGCCGTCGTCAGCCAGCCATACCCAAGCCCGAAGTGTGGAAAACCCGGGCCTCGAACTCGCGGCCTGTTAGTTAGAAGTCCAACGCCTATAACCACTGGGCCACGAGCCCGTTGCCCTGTCGGTTTTCGAATGAGAATATACAATGTTAGGGGGCGCTCACCGATCGTTCATACGGAACTCACTCGTTCCGTTGTGCCTTAAGGGCTCTCTCTCGAGCCCAACCAGCAGCCGCACAGTGGCGTATGATAAAGGCAGAATGGCATTACCGACAAAGACAAGGGAGACTAGAATGACCATTCCAGTTTATTAGCCGTCGTCTGCCAGTCATACCCAACCCCGAAGTGTGGAACACCCGGGGCTCGAACTCGCGACCACAAGGCAACGGGCTCGGGGCCCAGTGGTTAGAGGCGTGGACTTCTAAATAACAGGTCGCCAGTTCGAGCCTCGGGTGTTCCACACTTCGGGCTTGGGTATGGCTGGCTGACGACGGCTAATAAGCCAGAAAATGCCATTCCAGTCTCCCTTGTCTTTGTCGGTAATGCAATTCTGACTATATCATGCGCCGCTGTGCGGCTGCTGGTTGGGCTCGAGAGAGAGAGCCCATAAGGCACAACAGAACGAGTGCGTTCCGTAAGAACGATCGGTGAGTGCCCCTTACCACTGTATATTCCCGATCAGAAACCGACAGGGCAACGGGCTCGTGGCCCAGTGCTTAGAGGCGTGGACTTTGAACAAACATTTTGCGAGTTCGAGCCCCGGGTTTTACACACATCGGGGTTGAGTATGACTGGCTGATGACGCCTACTGCGTCAGAAGTGGTCAATATAGTCTCCTTTGTCTTTATATATATATATATGAGAAGAAGAGGCGATCTCGGGAACCATAGGTTTAATAGCCTGGCGTTTCAAAAGCAAACAAGCTTCCATCGTCGGAGGTGGGTTCTGTACGGCGCCTCACAGTATTTATGGATGCTGAGCATGCGGGAGTTTTTTCGTTCCTACTGCTATTCGTGCAGGATCTGCTGCGGGGGGAGGGGTTAATTGCTGTCGTGCTGGCCGGTCCCTTCCTCGTCTCCTAGTCGGGTGGGCTGAGTCGGGATGGCAACGGTCATTGACCTCGTCTGCATTACCCGCATTTGTTGTGCCTGGCCCGCATTTCTCGTAATTGTCGCCCGTTTGCCTCTGCCCGTGTGCACCTCGGTGGTTGCTGGCCCGTTGCCTGTGTCTCCTTTATCGGCCTGCTGACCCCCGTCATCGGTGTTTGGGCGCGAACAGTGTTCAGTTGGGCTTGTGGTCCTGACTTCCTGCCTTTGATTCCGTTGGTTGAACCGCACTCGTAGGGCCTGGTAAGCCGCCGGGAGGATCGTGCAGTGGTTGATGGAAGTTGGTACGGTGTGCCAGGATTCGAGCGTTTCCCTGGCTGTCTGGTCGGTACCTCGGCCTAGGATTTCGGCGTTCTGGAAGGCGAAAGTGTGTCCAGAGGCAGCACAATGTTCCGCCACCAGTGAGTGTTGGTCCGTCCTTCTCACTGCCCTTGTGTGTTCACTCATGTCCGATATATATCTGAGACGAGCGATTCCTGTGAAAATTTAAAGAGGGCTGAATAAAACAGTACCCCTGGCAATTCAATTTTCTCTGCGTTTTCTCTAAATATACCTTTAAGTTTAAGCTCGTTGAAACTCGAAAAACCATTTGGCGCGATTTCCTTTTTATGGGGTCTTCCGGACGTAGGAAGAAGTCTGTGCACATCCTTAATTAACTTTGAATTCCATCATTACATTTGCAGATGGTGGCCGCTGATAACGGTCATTGTGTGCATCGTTGTCTTGTTCATTGCTCTTTGCTGCTGCTGCTACTGCTGTCCCTGTTGCTCGGGCATAGCCAGCTGCTTGAAGGGCATCTTCTGTTGCTGCGGCTGCTGCGACGATAAGGAAAAAGAGGAGAGGAAACCGCTCAAATAAACCTTGTTCATGAAGGCCTTGTGCAGTGAAGCCCTTGTTAACCCCCCTAGTTCCATGATCTTTTTCTCTTCTACCTGTTTCGCGCGCCACATGTCCTCCTAATACGTCAGTAATTTCCCCATCCCCCAGGTGGTAAACTTTCTCTTCCATTGTTTTGTATTCATTTGTATTAAACTTTCTTGGAGTTTTCTTCTTTCCCAGCCACTAACTTTACTCAAAATACAACGTTCTTAAACCTACTTCCATAGTATAATCCTGAAGGATTCCGAAATATTTCCTTAAAAGCCGAGACCTGTCTGAAATTTAGGGGATGACTGTTGATTTCTGCTGTCATGACAGCTGAGTGGTAGTCAACGAAAAAAACGTTGTCAGAGTGCGGAAAATAATGCAGAGATACGATTGATTTTGGGTTTCAGGTACGGCCTGAAATCCCTTAAGGACGCAATGAGACAATAAGATTTGGTGCACATTCAATCGCAAAATTGAGGGGGGCTGGATTTCACCTCCCGACTGACGCAGATCGCAACTCATTGTGATCACACCAGTTTTCAGCCATACTCAAAGGGCGTCATTTCCAGATTTCGGAGTGCGTACGTACATGATGATCCTTATAATATTTTCTGAGATCTGGTTTTCATTGGAATTTAAGCATATAATGGATAGGAAGCACTGAACATGCTTCCAAGGTTCCCTACTCTTTAAATTTAAGCTTGACATCACGACTGAAATAAGGTGTACGCTAACCTCAAGCTTATTAGGAAATCGAGGATGACTAGAGTGCATGAGAGGGACGTGTAATTGTTGAATTACGGCCTCTAGAAACGAACTGTGTGACTAAACTTCTGTCACTCCTTCCTTTCCGGCGAGGGAAATTATACTTTATCTCAATTTAGATCACACTAAGCTTGATTACTTACTCAGGCCCTAGAAAAATAACAGACGATAAACGAAAACAGTGATCCGGAGAATTACAGAACCTGTTGACATCGTAAAGTTTAGCTCCATGTTTTAAATTGTAGTACACAAGTAAATTATCGGACGAATCCATGCGATCTCCAAGTATGCCAGTAAAAAATCAGGAGAAACATTAAAGACCAAATTTCAAAGTACGCATTAGGGTCAACCAAATAGCAAAAAAACAAAAGTGGAATCTTTAAATTGCTGGACCAGCATTTTACTGCCACAGTAAAGTGTACCACACTCGATTGTATAAGGCATATATAATTGTTCGATATTTATTTGCGTCATGTACGTAGGCGGGCGAACCGCTTTATCACGAATGAGAATTACAGAGGCGGGTTTTGTTTCGATGACAGGTTCTTCTATCAAGGTTGAAGGGAAACCCAACGAGCCTATGTGATTCTGTCCGCACATTTCATACTTAAAAACCTTTTTGGAGACTAAATAAGCCAGATAACGCAGAATCCTGTGACTGTAAGCTGAATGTAACCAACTACTTCGTCCCAAGCGCTACTCTGCCGGCTGAACTACAGTGGGCGAACGATCTCATGAAATGTTGGCCGAAATTCTAAAATTCGCTTTTAGTTAGGAAGGATTACTCAGATACGGCTGCAATACTGACTGCCATACGACATAATCCTATGTTTCGGGGTGGCCAAGATGCTGGCTTTTAAATGCTCCCCTTTTTGACCTCCTGTAGAAACCGCACTCGGTAAAATATAACTACCTAATTATTATGTCTTTTTTACATTGATTTTCAAGGCTCCTTTAAATTCAAATACGTTTTAAAGAAAACATGCAAAAATATGTCTTCTTACTTACCTTATCTCAAATCACGTCGTCTCTACGTGTTATGCTCAAAGAAAGAGTACCTTTCGGTCTTAACAAAGTTCCTCATTACGCGGCTTTGCAAAACCCTGAAATGTCCATTTATATAGCATCGTACCTGCCCCTTTATTGATGTTCCTCGTGAAGTATACAACATGGTTAACATAATTTACAAATTTTTATGAATCCTGTATATGGTACCTTCTCAAACACATAGGGGAATATATGATTTTCCTTACCCGAAACCACATACCCTCTTGACTGAAATCGCAACGGATGATCTGCCTCAGAATTAATCGGGAATTGGGAAACCTTTTCAAAACCTAAATACACGCTTCGAGCAAAAAACGCAAAGACGACGTAACTGTCTACAAATGAGAAAAAGGAAGCATATTTCTTGCATATATGTAATTTTAATTTAAAATGCCGGCTGAAATCAGTGTGAGAAACGCATACTACATAAGTAGTCATTTATTGCCCAGTGCATTTTTTTATCGTATTTTGCAAAGAAACATGTACAAAGGCCGAAAAAATTAAAATACTATGCCGCATAATAGTTGTTATTACAACCCCGCCTAGACACTCCACCCTAATCGAAAGCGCATTTCAGAACTTCGGCTAATATTTCATGAGATCAATTACTGTATGTGGGGGAAGCCAGTATGAACTTTCTAGAATGCATAAGTCATATAAACAATGTTTTCGTTTCGTTGCCTGTGAGTGACCGACTTGCAAGGTTCCACACGTTTGCAAAACTTGTCTTCACGTTTTATTCGAAACTCACCATATTCTACTAGTTCTTTTAGCGAACTGAATTAATTCTATCACGGTATTTATTATCAAGAATAAAAAAAGCATACAGGAATGCTGGTGCAACTCTATGTACTCCGCATTCATCAAACACACTTCCAAATAGCGTGTTAGAAGCGCGTCAGGTTTGAATGAAATTTCCTTCTGATTTAGGAAAAATAATTTAAACTATGATTCAGTGAAGCATTTACTGATAATATTCCTTATCAATACCTTCTTAGTATCACTCTTACTTTTTTCGCGTTACATGCAAGTTATTGTCAAAATTGCTTGCAAGATCAACCCCGTGTTCCGGCCAACTACTGAGTATATTAAGCTAGCTATTAATTATGGGTTTTATAAAGGCATTGATGCTAGGGCGGCTGAAGCGTCCGACCAGAACATCTATGGACGTAATGTTTTGAGCGAACGAACGTGAATAAATTGGCATTCCTCATCCAGCACACCCCCTTCCAATAGTAGTGTAACCTCCTTATAGAAACTGACGGGCGAGCAGATCCTTGAGTCAGTGGTACAGCGTTGGATTATTTCATGCCCAATGACGAAAGAATCCGAGTTCGAATCCAAGATCATATAGAACTGAAGTTTGACATGGCTAACTAAGGACGACCAGCGCGTCATGCTAGCCTGCTGTCTGTCGATATTCTTACCTACCTACATAGCTGCTCTTTGTACGACCGTCAGCGAGGGCTCTGAATTTAACTTCAGCGCACAATGAAACGAGCGTGTCCTATAAAAACAATCGACAAACACCCCCTCCCAATATCGTAACCATTTCTGATCACAGACGCGTGGAAAACCACAGAACACTGCACTTTAGGACGTTCAATAAACGAGAAGAATTAGGGTTCAAATCATAGGTCATGCAAGCATACTCTATGTAAATATGGCTGGCAACAGTTACTTTTCTTCCTTGCGCGTAGCACGCACATGAACTGTTTAACCATGTCGTCCAATGCGTCTGATGCCGCATCTAGTTCCCTGTCTCTGCCTTGGCACTGGATTTATGTGGGAGAGAGGGAGGAGAGCGCGTTAGATGCAACGCAGGTCTGCTACCAATATAAACTAATTCATGAGCAAGCTACCATCCCTACACCCACCTTGCGGTGAAGCCCACGAGTGGCATAGTCATTAACGATGGCCGAACGGTTGTAAAATGGCGTGAGTTCACAGATCTGGTTAGGACAAACATAATCGTCCCGTTGTATTCTGGGGCTCGATTTGGAGAGTTGCTGACAGTCGCACAGGGACCAAGAATGTAGACTGAAAGAGGTTACTAACAAAGACAAGGGAGACTGGGATGGTCATTTCTGAACTTCTGGTCATCCTCAGTGAACCTTACTCAATCCCGGGTTCCGGTGCACCTGAGGTTCGAACCCCCGTTCTTTTGATTATTCAGCGTCAGCAAGAAAACAAGTTTCCGACCGCAGCCGATAGGAAAATTGCATCGAATCTCGGTTTTAAGAGCTTTGGACCTGACCGTTCGACCGTCATTGCTGACGATGTCCAGTATGTGCTCCACGCCAGGATGAGGTCAAGGACGGTGATTTGCGCGTAAATCCTGTAACAGTGGTAGTAGACGCGCTAAATCTACCGCACTACCGCAATCTACCAACTTAGACACAGTGTCATGACACAGTCACAAAGAAGGAAGGCCGGAGAGGACGCAGGTGGCTGGTACTGTGGAAACCTACCTACCTACAGTGTCTGAACGATTTGGTGAAATGTTGGTCAAAATGCTTAAATGCATTTTCGAATAAGAAGGATTACTTAGGAGGGGTTGTAATTTTGCTTGTCAAACAACATAATCCCATAGTATTTTGGACTCGCCAGGATGTCAGCTATTGAATGCCTTTCTTTTCGACCTCCTATAGAAGCCACACTCAGTGAAAAATGACTACTTATTTAGCTCGTACTTTTCACATTGATTTTCGATGTTCCTAAAAATCGACTCATTTTTTTAATGCAATCATCATATAAATATTCTTTCTTTTAATGGTTTGGTAGAAAATAACATTATCCGTACATTTTGTACAATTGTCGTTGCAATTACCACATAGCGATTCCAGTCTACAAGGTGCATGCTTCCCTCATAAGCAAAATCATATATTCTTCTATGCCTTGGAGAAGATATCATGTTGATTTCATAAAATTTTGCAATGAATGTGGGCTATGTTGTACGTTTCACGAGGAGCATTGGTAAACGGAGGTGTGCGACGTTGTGTGTATGGACATCGCGCGGTATTAAGAATTGGATAATTAGAAACTTTTGAAATCTTCGGGTATAAAAAGCAAAGATAATGTTATTTTCTACCAAACGTGTAAAAGAAAGAATATTTTTGTGGTGTGTCCTATTAAAAATATTTGAATTTATAAAACATCTAAAATCTATGTAGAAAGCA